TTTCTCTGGTCTGCCCTTGCTCCTCACACAGTCTTCCTCCCAACCAATGTAGTGGTTATGGTGCGATAATTGCTCTGGTACCCTTCTAGAGTAAGTAGTACAAATATTTTAGAATAATTTTTATAACTTAGCTGGGGTTTGCCAGGAGCCCATCACCACCTCCTGTCATTTCCATTGAGCGGGGCAGGATGTGTTTAAGAGCGGTTGCCTTCTCTGAGCTAAGCCTGGCAGTGCAGGGCTGTACTCATTGGCTGAGAGCTCTCTGCTTATGTTCTCAGCCAATGAGTCAGCCCTGCACTGCCAGGCTTAGCTCAGAGAAGGCAACCGCTCTTAAACAGTTTGACTACTTATATTGGGAGAGCTCCAGGCACTACTGGCATTATAAAGTGGGCTGTAGTAGTTATGGTGCTTGAAGTGTTACTTTATAACCAGTGGCATAATACAAATGAGAATTGTGTTACTATCAGGATAATAAAACATAATTCCTGAGTATTGGCCATTCATAATATAGTAATGTATATAGACCATATATATATAAAAGAAGACTGGCACGCTGGGCTTTCCAAGGATTTCCTCTTTATTGACAGTTAATCTAGGTTCAACGTTTCAGCTCCCGATCAGAGCTTTCATCAGGACACCCAAAAAAAAATATACTACAAAGTAAGAGGCTTTATATAGGACTAGTATTCAATACACACTCACCAAATCAGCTGTTCTCCATTTCATTTGATGATCAGCGTATTACTGGTGCCACTGCGCATGTGAGCTTTTGCAAGGGTTACCTTTACATCAGAGGTTTCAGCAGAGACCAATCCCCATGTTCCGGCTACGTCACGTTACCAAGGGAACCTGCGAAGCTTTGCGGCTATTGGTTGTACATCCGTGTACTGTTACCGTTGGGAGAGTACCTCCTCTCAGTTGAGGTTAATCCGCCCTCTTCCTGAGGGAGAACAGCTGATTTGGTGAGTGTGTATTGAATACTAGTCCTATATAAAGCCTCTTACTGTGTAGTATATTTTATTGTGTGTGTCCTGATGAAAGCTCCGATTGGGAGCTGAAACGTTGACCTGGATTAACTATCAATAAAGAAGAAATCCTTGGAAAGCCCAGAGTGCCGGTATCCTTTTTTACTTATACTAGTTTTGTGACTTGGCACCGGGTAAGAACCCTTTATTTGGAGTGCAAGTGTTTTTGATGTGGTATGTGTATGTGTAGTCTGTCATAATGAAATTTCAGACCTATTGTACTTATTTGTTCATGACAGCATCTTTGTGATAATATGATAAGATTTCCATAGTTTTAAAAATGTGTAAAATATATAAACATATATTTAAATATACAGGTAAGGAACTGGGATTTGTAACTAATTAAAATGTTCTTTTATGACATCTGCCAGAGAGGAATTCTACAAACAGTCCTTTTGTGTTATGCCTTTATTTAAAACAAACTTAATAATTACACACTTCACAGGAAATGTTCCCAGAGCTTTGTTTCTAACGTGTCTAACACAGTAAATCTCACACATTCATTGACATAAACTCTCTTACCTAATGCAGATAATCTCCTACATACAAATAATCTTTATCACACATGCACGTACGCTCTCAGTCACATAAGTATACATTCACACGTACACATGTCCACATTCATACATACACAAACATTCCTTTATAAATTAATACACATACACATAAGCTGTTCCTTCTAACAGCCGTAGGAACAGCCCCTCTAGTACGGGTGGGGTTGAGAGGGTAAGGAAGTCTAGCCAGGTTGTGGTGGTGTTATGGTGGTATTATTAAGAGAGTAGATAGGGTAATCTGCCACTCTGATCGACTCAACCGGACAGTTTGCTGTCTCCCGGGTGCTCGGGTCTGGCATGTTGCCAACGGAGTGGAGGGATTATTGGGAGGGGCTGGGGATGACCCAGCTGTCATGGTCCATATTGGTACCAATGACAATGTCAGAGAAAAATGGAAGGTCCTAAAGAATGAGTTCAGGAATCTAGGAGTAAGCTAGAGAAAAGGACCTCCAAGGTAATATTTTCAGAAATATTACCTGTGCCACGCGCTACAGCAGAAAGGCAGCGGGAGATTAGAGAGGTCAATGCGTGGCTGAAGTCTTGGTGCAGGAAAGAGGGTTTGGGGTTTTTAGAGCACTGGGCCGATTTTGCGCTTGGGTACAACCTGTATAGTCGTGGTGGATTGCACCTAAACGGAAGAGGGTCTGTTGTGCTGGGATATAGAACGGCTAGAAGGTTGAAGGAGATTTTAAACTAGTAGTGGGGGGGAGGGTCAAAGCAATCTAGAAAATGGAGATAGGATAGAAAGGAGATGGGCTTTAGCTCAGAACAAAGAGGGTGGAGATGGGGGGAGGGGGAAGCTCAGAACAGAGGAGGTATGTAATATTGATAATTCACAAAATGACTCATGGTAATATTAAATGTATGCTTACTAATGCAAGAAGCCTATATAACAAAACAGGGGAACTAGAGGCAATAGCATACACAAAACAACATGATATAATAGGCATAACAGAAACATGGTGGGATGAGACACATGACTGGGCAGTTAACTTAAATGGGTACACATTAAGGACGAGGAAAATGTGGAAGCTTAATGGGTAGATATCTGCTTGGGGCAAACAAAGGGAAATAAATTATTGGTTGGGATATGTTATAAACCACCAAATGTAAATTTTAATGAGGAAGAACTGCAAAGCTGCAAATTGGGGTAACACGTTAATTATTGGAGATTTTAATTACCCGGACATAAATTGGGATAGAGGGACTAGTACTTCAGCAAGGGGAATCTGGTTTTTGAATGTGTTAAATAACACCTTTATGTCACAACTGGTACAAGCACCAACTGGATCTTGTTATAACAAACAATGTTGATCTTTTAACCAACATTCAAGTAGGGGAGCATTTGGGAAATAGTGATCACAATATGGTATCTTTTGAAATAAACTAAAAAAAGCAAAAGCATGTGGGGTATATTAAAATGTATAATTTAAAGAATTGAGATCCCTAGAGGAACTTCACCACAAAGCATATGATACATTCCAAGTGTACCTCAACACTTGGACACACTGGATCCTGAAGACGACGGATCCCGAATTCACTAACATGACATAAATGCCACCACGCAGTTAGCTAAAGGAGGCCACAAAATCAGAGAGGAGCGGGGAAGACAGCCATATAAGGGCGGATCTACCCCCAGCACCAAGGGCTCACCAATACTAGAGGGCCCACAAAACACCAAAAACGATAAGGGAAGCCCTGACACGTGGGCGGGGAGACTATCTCACCTAACAGGGTACCCCAAAGAGGGGTGAGGATGGGAGACGCGGATCACAGGACCCGGGCTGTCACGCGACATTCTCACAGACAGGCATACGTAACAGGGACATACACGCACACGCACCACCCACAAGGGACTGGCGAGTCCGACGAAAATGCGGGCCTGCGAGCCCAATTGAACATGCAACTGTATAAAACTATTTTAGATAGAGCGTAAATGATGAAGAGCAAGAAACATGGTTAAATTAGTGGAGACCTGCGAGTCTCAATGTTTCGTCATTCTCTTTGTATGCACACTACATGCCAATGGCGGAGACCTGCGAGTCTCATTGTTTTGCCTTTCTCTTTGTGTGCACAGTACATGCAAATAAAAATATATTTACAAAAAAAACTTATAATTTAAAAAAAGCCAATTTTAATAAGATTAGGGCAGCTCTACAACATATCGACTGGCATAAATGCCTTAGTGATAAAAACAATGAGGAAAAATGGAAACTATTCAAACAAATATTAGAAAGGTACATTTCTCAGTATGTACCATTGGGAAATAAATATAAAAGAAACAAATTAAAACCAATGTGGTTTAGTAGAGAAGTAAAACAAGAGATTAAAAATAAGAAAAGGGCATTTAAAGCATTTAAATCGGACAAATCAGAGGCATCCTATATAAGATATAAGGAAGCCAATAATACTTGCAAAAAGGCAATTAAAGTGGCTAAACCAGAAAATGAGAAATTGATAGCCAAAGAATGCAAAACCAACCCCAAATTTTTTTTCAAGTACATCAATTCTAAAAAAACAAAAAAAGAAAGTGTAGATACACTGAAAACGGAGATGGGTCTGTTAGTTAATGAAGACCAGGAAAATATCAGCATATATTAATGAGGATCCTATGGCAAGAGATAAGCAAATGATTGCTGCAATAAACTTGCGGATAACTTGTGATTGGATAACTCGAGACAAGGTGCTATAGATATTAAAGAAAATTAATGTAAATAAAGCTCCGGGGCCTGACGGTATCCACCCACGAGTACTTAAGGAGCTAAGTGGGCAAATAAGTGAACCTCTGTATTTAATTTTTCAAGATTCTTTTGTTTCAGGTATTGTACCAGAGGATTGGAGGAAGGCAGATGTTGTTCCTATATTTAAAAAGGGTTCAAAATCCTTGCCTAGAAATTTGAGACCTGTGAGCTTAACTTCTGTGACTGGGAAATTATTTGAACGGCTATTAAGGGATAATATTCAGGAATTCATTGGGAAGAACTGTGTTACTAGCAATAATCAGCATGGTTTTATGAAACATAGGTCATGTCTGTCAGGGTGGCGGTACGGAAACTGGGACCCCTGAGTGCCTGATGAGAAGTTAGGAGTCTTCAGCGTGGAAGTGGATTATCAGGGCCTGGTGCAGGGTAACCACACGCCCTCTGGTGTTGAGCACCAGCGTTTGTGTGGCCACATACCAGAACCCTGATGCAGCTACAGCGGATCCCAGGAACTTGAAGCTAGGAAGTAAGCAGACCTCCCAGGAGCTGAATAGGGAGGCTCTGCAGCAAGAATGTATCCAGTATAGAAACAAGGCAAGGCTAGGATAGTCACCAAACATGAAAACAAGACAGAACTAGTAGAACCCAGAACCAGAGAAGGATAGGAAGCTAAACCCAGAACATGTACACAATACATAAGGGAACATTAACTAAACAGGAGCAGGACAGGACTGTACATGGACTGGGACTACAAACTAAGACAAGATATAATAGGCAAAACAAGAGGAGACATAACTAAGCACTATATATGAAAAGTATGGGGATTTAGTTACATTATATGATCATACATTGCATAAGTCTGCCACAACGCCAATGTACCCCATATTCGGCAGGTCCTACACTGCCTAATGTTCGCTAAAAGAACCATACTAAACCACAATAGCACTTACCTGCAAGAAAGGGCAGAGATTTGAAACACTGCTGCAGGTCCAGGCCGAAACAAAAGGAATGATGGAAAACAAACGGGTGTGGCAACATAAAACAAACATTTAAATGAAAGAGACTGGAAAATCCAGGGATGGAATATAAGAATGAACCCAGAAACCCAGCATAAAGAAAACCAGACATAGAATAGAAAATCAGAAAAAACAAAAAAAACTAAGCAAGGTTTGTAAAAAGAGTACTGGATACCAGAAGCCAAGTCAGACATCAGAACAGAGCAGAGCAGATCCCAACAATGTCCAACTAACCTAATTGCATTCTACGAAGAAGTAAGTAGAAGTATAGATCAGGGTGTTGCAGTGGATGTGTTCTACTTGGATTTTGCCAAGGCATTTGATACGGTTCCTCACAATAGGTTAGTCTTCAAACTAAAAATAAATTGGTCTACATGAATATTCTTGTTCTTGGGTAGAACATTGGCTTAAGGATAGAGTACAACGAGTTGTCATTAATGGTAAATTTTCAAGCTGGACAAAAGTGGTAAGTGGTGTCCCTCAGGGTTCTGTTTTGGGACCGCTTCTATTCAACATATTTATAAATGATCTCGAAATGGGCATTGAAAGCCATGTATCAGTGTTTGAAGATGACACAAAACTTTGTAAAGTAATGTGAGCAGGATATTGCCTTGCTGCAGAGGGATTTGGATAGATTGGGGGACTGGGCACTAAAATGGCAGATGAAATTTAACGTAGAGAAATGCAAAGTTATGCACTTCGGGGTTAAGAAGGCACAAGCAATTTACACCCTAAATGGTTGTGAACTAGGGATAACCACACACGAGAAGGATTTGGGAATTGTTATAGACAACAAATTAGGCAGCAATGTGCAATGTCAATCTGCCGTTGCTAAGGCCAGTAAGGTTTTGTCATGTATAAATAGGGGCATAAATTCTCGAGATGAAAATATAATTTTGCCTTTTTTTAAATCGCTGGTAAGACCACACCTTGAATTTGCTGTGCAATTTTGGGCACCTGTTCTAAAGAAAGATATCATGGGGAAGCCTACACTCAAAGAACATGACATACTCGTCATCCAAGAAGATAATCCTGTTAATATTACAAGGAATGCAGTCTCGTAATAAAAGGACTTGAATAAAATTGAATCTATGAACAGATCCCCAAGAGCAAAACACTTGGAATGTAAAGTAATTTTATTGCTTACAAGAAATACATGACCTTAAGGAACAACATGATTAAAGAGCCAAAATCTAACTTTTAGACGGCAAACGGGCAGAGTTAGTTACAGAATATCAATTCTCTACCTTGTGTGTGTGGTTTTTTTTGTTTGTTTTTATATTTAGTTATCTCTTTTTTTCTCTAAGTAATATTTATTTATTGAAATGTGCTCAGTTAGATTGTACCATGACATGTTATTACAATTATGCTAATAAGAATGCAGTGTTATTACTGCACAGTATGTGTGTTATTACAGTGATGCTCATAATACTATGTTGGTATGAAAGCAGAATATATATGCCATTATAGTGATGTTCATAAGAGCGTAATGTTATTTCTGTATAGTAAGTAATAACTATGCAGGGACACCGAGGAGTGCTGTAATGTATCCCATAAAAAATGTCAGTCAGAATGCAATGCTACAGGGAGTGTAAAACAGTGATTGTACATGTTGTGCAGGAGATGTAAGAGCTATGGGACATGACAGTGATGTCACTGGTATCAATGACTATGACCAAAAGGGGCTAGTCCAGCTAGAAAGGGGACGGACAGCAATTTTGAAGCATTTTGAGGATGTACCTAAAGGGATACTATAGGTGCCAGAAATACAAAGTTGTATTACTGGCACTATAGCTCCCTCTGCCTCTCCCCTTGTCTCACGCCCCCCTCCCTCCTATTCCCCCCCACGCCTTTATGTCACTCGGTGTTGGGTCGCCGCTCCGCCTCCCACAACATCCCGTGACTAATGCGCCTGGTACAGGACCAAAGGTCCATTTGGATACAGAAAGTGCCTCCAGTGGTTGTCTGGGAGACAGCCGCTGGAGGCAGACTTAGTGCTGCAATGTAAACATTGCAGTTTCTCTGCACCCAGACCACTTCAATGAGCTGAAGTGGTCTGGGTCAGGGCCGGATTAACATAGGGGCTGATAGAGCTCCAGGCCCATTTAAAAAAAAAAAGATATCGTGGCACTAGAAAAAGTGCAGAGACGAGCTACAAAATTGATAAAAGGAATGGAGTATTTTAGTTATGAAGAAAGGTTAAAAAATGTAAATCTTTTTAGTTTGGAAAAACTGCGCCTGAGAGGGGATATGAACATTATACAAATATATTCGGGGCCAGCACAGACCATTATCTGGAAATCTATTCATAAACAGGACTATACATAGGACACGAGGTCACACATTTAGGCTAGAAGAAAGGAGATTTCATCTAAGGCAAAGAGAAGGTTTTTTTACAGTAAGAGCAATAAGGATATGGAATTCTCTGCCTGAAGAGGTGGTTTTGTCAGAGTCTATACAGATGTTTAAACTGCAATTGGATAAATACTTGCAAAAACACAACATACAGGGATATAATTTCTAATTAGTGGGGTAATAGCTGCTTGATCCAAGGAGACATCTGACTGCTATTTTGGGGTCAAGAAGGAATTTTTTCCTAGTTTGTTGCAAAATTGGAAGAGCTTCAGACTGGGTTTTTTGCCTTCTTTTGGATCAACAGCAAAAACATATGTGAGGAAAGCTGAACTTGATGGACGCAAGTCTCTTTTCAGCTATGTAACTATGTAACTATGTAACCTTTATACATGCAGAAACTCATTGTCATATTATCACCGTGATACATGCATACTTGTTCCTACACAATTTCTCATATAGCTTATGCATGCCCATATTCCCCACTCATATGTGCCCATCCATTTTTACATGTATACATGCATGTTCTCAACAGGAATTATGCATGGCTTTACTCTCACACATATATACATTACATGTACCCTCCATATACATGCATGTGTGGACAAGTTTCCTCCACAAAACATTACCTCCAGGCTAAATATACTTGGAAATGGCAAATTACCCTCACTCACTCGTACTGTTGTCCAATCTTTGTTTTCTCTTAATATGCAATTCTGCAATTTAAGTTCAAACTTTCTTAAGTTCAAACCACAATAATAATAAGCACACTTCCTAACTAAAAGGAAAGAAAAAAAATATACAGAAATATTGAATACTGAATCATTTAAACTGTGAACAGCTTTCCCTCCCCGCACCCTGATTCCTCCCCTGAAAGTGTCATCAAAACACTAAGCCCTCAATGAACACTATCCTAACAACCTACATTTCTACCCTACCCTTACCTTTTGTGTCACTATACCCCACTCCCTCTAGCATGTAAGCTCATTGAGCAGGGCACTCAATCACTCTGCTCCTGTGGGTCAAACTTGTCTGGTTACAAATACGTGTCTGTTAGTCCACCCATTGTACAGCACTGTGGAACTTGTTGGCGCTATATAAATAATAATAATACTGTCTCAAATCAGACCTAGGTATAATGGTATGTAAAAGTTCACATAGGGACTATAGTCAAAACAGTGCCAACCCAATAGCTGCTGGACTCTAGCAGAAAGTTAACGTCATTGACTTATTTACCACTTACTCTATGTTTATGTTGCTTGGAATTTTGTATATCTAACTGTGTTTTGTCTCTTTGCAGCTTTATAATACAATATTTGTTAAGATAATTGATTCTGTCTTTGATTCCCATAAGCATCTTTTTTTCTCTTAATATTTTTTGCTATCACAACATGGAGGACATGAAGTTTCATGGGGAGGCCTGCACTGAAGGAACATGACGTACTCGTCATCCAAGAAGATAATCCTGTTAATATTACAAGGAATGCAGTCTCGTAATAAAAGGACTCGAATAAAATTGAATCTATGAACAGATCCCCAAGAGCAAAACACTTGGAATGTAAAGTAATTTTATTGCTTACAAGAAATACATGACCTTAAGGAACAGCATGATTAAAGAGCAAAAATCTCATTTATAGACGGCAAATGGGCAGAGTTAGTTACAGAATATCCATTCTCTACCTTGTGTGTGTTTTTGTTTTGTTTTTATATTTAGTGTCTGGGAGACAGCCGCTGGAGGCAGACTTAGTGCTGCAATGTAAATATTGCAGTTTCTCTGCACCCAGATCACTTCAATGAGCTGAAGTGGTCTTTGTCAGGGCCGCATTAACATAGGGGCTGATGGAGCTGCAGCTCCAGGCCCAGGCCCATGGAATAGGCCCATTTAAAAAAAAAAATAATAATAATAATTTTACTGGCATAGATGGTATTTGAGGCTGTTTGCCCGTGACACTTGGAGACACTGGGAAACATGGGAACACTGAGACACTAGGGGACACATGGGGACACTGAGACACTGTGGGAAACTGGGAGACCTGGGGACACTGAGACACTAGGGAACACTGTGAGACATAGGGACATTGAGAGGCACATTGGGACACGGAGACACTAATGACACAGTGTCTCCATGTCTTCCAGTGTCCCCATGTCTCCCAGCCAGTGTCCCTAGTTTCTCAGTGTCCCCATGGCTCCCACAGCCCCCATGTCTCCCAGTGTCTCCATGTCTCCCAATGTCCACATGTCTCCCAGCCAGTGTCCCTAGTGTCTCAGTTTCCCCATGTCTCTCAGTATCTGTAGTGTCCCCATGTCTCCCAGTGTCCCCAAATGTTTCAGTGTTCCCATGTCTCCCAGTGTCCCCAAGTGTCTGTGTCCCCATGCCTCCCAGCCAGTGTCCCTAGTGTCTCAGTGTCCCCATGTCTCCCAGTGTCCTGTAGTCTCCCAGTGTTTGTGTTCCCATGTTTCACAGTGCCCCTAGTGTCTTAGTGTCCCCAAATGTCTGTGTTCCCATGTCTCTGTGTCCCTAGTGTCTGTGTCTCCATGTCTCCCAGTGTCCCCA